CTTCTTCTTCTTCTTCTTCTTCTTCATCTTCTTCTTCTTCTTCTTCTTCTTCTCAAGTAACACCGGAAATATTTTCTTTCCTCCTTCATCCTCTTCCCCTTACTCTCCGCTTCTCTCTTTCGACTCACTTCTTCCCTTATCTTCTTGCATCTTCCATCTGCGCCTTCCTCCTGTTATCCTTTTGTCTTCCTCTCACGAAACAATGGATGTAAATGGGATAAATTTGGATCCAGAGAAGACCTGGGTAAATACTGGTTTGGAAAAGAGGATTGTTGACTTATGGAACAAATTACCGGGTTTGTACCATATATATAATATATATATAATATGGGCCTTCAAAATAATTAGGGTTATGAATATAATACGGAGATCAATGTTTTAATGTATAAAGACAGACATTAAAATCTTGTCCGCGGCTGAGTGGACAGTGTTTGGGAGTCGTTGTTCTAATGACCCGGGTTTGATTCCCGGCTGAGGCGGAAACAAATAAGCAGCATTTCTTTCACCCTGATGGACTGTTCACCTTTAAGTAAATAGGTACCTGGGAGATAGACAGCTGTTACGGGCTGCTTTCTGGAAGTGTGTGTGGGGGGAGACGGGGGGGGGGAGAATAGTATTAGTAACAGTTGATTGATTGACAGTTGAGAGACTGGCCGAAAGAGCAGAGCTCAACCCCCGCAAGCACAACTAGCTGAATACCCGAAATGAATGAAAATGGGTTCGATTCCCGCACGAGGCAGAAACAAATGGGCAAAGTTTCTTTCACCCTGAATGCCACTGTTACCTAGCAGTAAATAGGTACCTGGGAGTTAGTCAGCTGTCACGGGCTGCTTCCTGGGGGTGGAGGCCTGGTCGAGGACCGGGCCGCGGGGACACTAAAAGCCCCGAAATCATCTCAAGATAACCTCAAGATAATACACCAACACACACTGAGGTGACGAGGCAAGCCCCTGGTGATAATAACCCCTCACACCAGCTGAGGAAGTCACCACATATCAACAATACCATCGTCGTGGACTCTCCTTAATTCAAGAGTTATTTGGTCGCGCTTATCTTAAACGGTGTATAAATATATATGAGAAACTTTCACCAGCTAAGGAAAGACAATGTTTTTCAGTATAATATAATCTGGAAGATTTTTTATCCAGAGTTCTCTCTTTCTGTAGATTTTATGTGTGTTTGTTGTTCTCTTTGTGATATTCATTTATTTATTTAAATATTTGCAACAAAGCATAATATGGGTGTGTGAAGAAATATACAAATATTATTACAGTAAATTATTTAAAATTAATTAGATACAGGCTCTTTTTTTTCATGGGTGGGTCAAGGCGTCGATTTCTGACTCTTGTCAACAAGCTTTCAGCCTTCCCCCTTCCCACAGTCCATGTTTAGTCTTTCCCCTACTAGTTTACAGACATGTCCACAACTCCTGCTGGGTAAACAGGAGTGAACAGTCAAGGCTCGGTGCCCAGTTGATCCTCCCAGCCCAGGGCTCGAACCCTAGCGAATTCGAGACTTGGGGCGAGCATGCCACCACAACGCCACAGTAGCTGCTAACTTTGATTCTTGTGGCTCTGATAATCGTACACTTGAGAGGTGATTTAGAACGAGCTTTTGTGCGCATTTCGGTAGCTTAACGCTAATTTAAATGGGCATTTATAGGCTGAATGAATGTGAGTAATCCATCCTTGCGTCTTCCCCGTGAAGGACGAGCATGCACACAGGAAGGATGAATTAAATAACTTAGAAAGACTATCAAAACCCTCATGCATTAGTGTATTCTATTCCAGTGGTACAGAGGACCCACCAAATATTAGCGTCCTTACCGTTCCCTCCTCCAAGACTTCCTACTCCTCCTCCTCCTTCTTCACCTTCTCCTCTCTCTCTTCTTTTTATCTCTCTTCGTCCTCCTCATCCTCCACCCTTCCTCCTCCTCCTTCTTCACCTTCTCCTCTCTTCTTTTTACCTCTCTTCATCCTCCTCATCCTCCACCCTTCCTCCTCTTCCTCTTTCAAGACCTCCCCCCTCGCCGTGGGAAAGGAGTGGGCGCAAAAGAAAGTATGAGAAAAAAAGGGTACCGGAAAATTCCCTCACAACAATCCTCCGTCTTGCGTTTATAAGAAAGAAAATTACCGTAGAAGGCCCGTGACAGGAGAGAGTCTCACTGGGTACGAAGAGCTTGGCCTTGTAGGAGTCCAAAAAGGTCACCTTACACGGAGTTTACTATAAATATATGTACAACAAGAGAGAGAGTGTTAGTGTCTGTCCAGAGTTGGAGGCCAGACGCTTGGGGCTAGCCTCATTCAACTTTGCGGGATAACTGGTCTGGGGCATAGAACGGACATGGTCTGGTCAAGGTGGGTCTTAGTAAAATGCTCTAAGAAATATTATAAATTATAAAGAGCCGCCGTACCATTTTCATGGAGTCACGTGTGAAACATGTGTGACTTTTGAGAGTTGTTAGAGAAAAGAAAAGGAACGAAGAGAAAAAAAAAGACAATTTGAGAGACTTGTAAAGTTGTTTCAGTGATTCCAGATGGGGAAGCAGATGGCATGACGAGGGCCGGGACGAAGGGGGGGAGGGGCCAAGCGGATGGAGACAAGGGGTTCAAGGCGTATATAGATAGATCAAGAGAGAGAGAGAGAGAGAGAGAGAGAGAGAGAGAGAGAGAGAGAATGTGTTTGTGTGTTACACACAAACGTTCACATCGGCGTTGCCCGGGTTTGTTGTCTGTCCTCTCTCTCTCTCTCTCTCTCTCTCTCTCTCTCTCTCTCTCTCTCTCTCTCTCTCTCTCTCTCTCTCTCTCTCTCTCTCTCTCTCTCTCTCTCTCTCTCTCTCTCTCTTCCTTTTCTTAGGTAAACTCTGTCCAATTTGCTCAGCCACCCCTTATATTTATGTAGTTTTATCACCCCTTTGTCCTTTTCTAATACTGCGTGAATGACTATTTGTCTATTGTTTGATCTACTAATCGTAACTTCACTTTTAATATGTTCTCTCTAAGTTTTATAAAGTATTATCTATCATTGTCTATTAACCACCAGTTAAAGGGAAAGTTGAAGACGTATTAGAGCAATTACTCTTCCGAAACCCGTAAGAAAGTCGTCAGACATCTGGTGGGTGACGCTCCTCTGGTCGGTCGCACCTCGGACGACTGAGCAACCAGCTAACTGACGCCTCCGTGGGTCCACCTGGGAACCAGGGCCTCTATATGCTCATCCGGCCAGCCAAGATCTGCTCGGCCGCGAAGAATGAACCATTTACCAACATCGTTCCAGAACGCTCTGGCACACACGCACACACAATCGAAGAATCTTGCATTAAATACACACTTCTAAGCCCGAGGCTTGCTTAAACTACGGGAAAACAGAATGGAGAAATAGAAATTATATACCACTTTGGGCAAAGGAGCATCTTTCGGGAAGGTAACAAAGAGTAATTGTATATTATTTACAGTCTGATTGGTCAGAAACTAGGGGTCTTCCAGTGAGGAAGTTCTGCCACCACTACTACTTTTTTTTGTTCTCTAAATGGCCTAATTCAGACGCAAGTATTAGTATACCTCTTATGAGGTCCTGGTCCAGAAGCAAGTATCAGTATACCTCTGGTGAGATCTTGGTTCAGACGCAAGTATCAGTATACCTCTGGTGAGATCCTGGCCCAGACGCAAAAATCGGAGTACCTGGTTATCGTGAAAGACATACCAAACCTCTTGTTCTTCTCTATCCTCTATTGCAGAGGATACAAATGATAGAGTCTTGGCGATGAGGCCGATGTTCAGCATAAACATCATTGATACTGGTGACGTACCAGGGCTGTTGCTGGGAGGGAGAGAGAGAGAGAGAGAGAGAGAGAGAGAGAGAGAGAGAGAGAGTGCGTGTATGAGTGAGTGGGAGACAATGAGAAAAAGTGGATCTAGCTCAGCTGTTCTCAGACTTTTTGTCACGGATACCATTAAACAAGCCGAGAAAATTGCTTGTACAACAGAGCTAAAAAGCTATAATAAGATTTTTAAAATATAGTTTCAGTGCCACGAAAAATCGTTACTTTAAATAAATCCTTAATGTGATTTATTTATGTATTTTGAGAGTGGTTCCTTACAGTCAAGGTTCGAACCTTATATTGAGGAGAGTGTGAAAAACTTGGAGTAATTTTTTTTACATAAATTTCACAAATACACAAGTGTGGGTGTTTATCCTTTCTTATTATGTGTGCGAGAAGACATTACCATTACTTATCATAATAATAATAATAATAACAATAATAATAAAATATATGAAATAGATAACATTTCGGTGGAAGGTCCAGGCTTGCTAGAGAAAATATAACTATATATATTTTCTCTGATACTTTATATGTTCTCTTGGTATATCGCAAGTCATTCAAGACAATTTTCATCATAAATCTAATTCCCAGTTAAGTGTGTCCAACCTGTTTGCCACTCAATTTGCCATTCCGTAAAAAATGCAATTGTTTCGTCTAACCTGAAACGATTGAACACAAGTAATTCCTTTACACTACACTACACTACACTACACATCATCACGGCCCTTGTGGATTTGTTCACAACTCAATTAACCTATGTTGACCAAACCACACACTAGAAAGTGAAGGGACGACGACGTTTCGGTCCGTCCTGGACCATTCTCAAGACAATCAACTTGAGAATGGTCCAGGACGGACCGAAACGTCGTCGTCCCTTCACTTTCTAGTGTGTGGTTTGGTCAACATTCTTCAGCCACGTTATTGTGACTTCACTTAACCTATCGAGGCCGTTACATAGAAAACGTCAGCATTACGAAGGGTTGTAATTTGTTTTAATTCGTCGCATTTTTAACGTACTGGTCGATTCGGATAACAAATGCGAAGTAATAGGTGAGAGAACGGCTTGACTTATTGGTCAGACATTAGTTGTTGGCTGATGTTAGTCTGTTGGGTTCACTTGTGACTTTAGTGGCATGATTTTTAGTTAAAGATTCAAGATGTTATTTTTGTGTAAGTTTTATGTTGTAAAGTATTTACTGTTACTGGTACAACTAGTGTTGCCAGTACTACTAGTGTCACCAGTACCAATAGTGTCACCAGTACTACTAGTGTTACCAGTACCAATAGTGTTACCAGTACCACTAGTGTTGCCAGTACCACTAGTGTTACCAGTACCAATAGTGTTACCAGTACCACTAGTGTTGCCAGTACCACTAGTGTTGCCAGTACCAATAGTGTCACCAGTACTACTAGTGTTACCAGTACCAATAGTGTCACCAGTACTACTAGTGTCACCAGTACCACTAGTGTTACCAGTACTACTAGTGTTACCAGTACCAATAGTGTTGCCAGTACCAATAGTGTTACCAGTACCACTAGTGTTATCAGTACCACTAGTGTTGCCAGTACCACTAGTGTTACCAGTACCAATAGTGTTACCAGTACCCCTAGTGTCACCAGTACTACTAGTGTTGCCAGTACCACTAGTGTTACCAGTACCAATAGTGTCACCAGTACCAATAGTGTTACCAGTACCACTAGTGTTACCAGTACCAATAGTGTCACCAGTACCAATAGTGTTACCAGTACCACTAGTGTTACCAGTACCACTAGTGTTACCAGTACCACTAGTGTTACCAGTACCACTAGTGTTACCAGTACCAGTAGTGTTACCAGTACCAATAGTGTTACCAGTACCATTAGTGTTACCAGTACCACTAGTGTTGCCAGTACCAATAGTGTCACCAGTACCAATAGTGTTGCCAGTACCACTAGTGTTGCCAGTACCAATAGTGTCACCAGTACCAATAGTGTTACCAGTACCAATAGTGTCACCAGTACCAATAGTGTTACCAGTACCACTAGTGTTACCAGTACCAATAGTGTTACCAGTACCAATAGTGTTACCAGTACCACTAGTGTTACCAGTACCAATAGTGTTACCAGTACCACTAGTGTTGCCAGTACCACTAGTGTTACCAGTACCACTAGTGTTGCCAGTACCAATAGTGTCACCAGTACCAATAGTGTTGCCAGTACCACTAGTGTTGCCAGTACCACTAGTGTTGCTAGTACCACTAGTGTTGCCAGTACCACTAGTGTTACCAGTACCACTAGTGTCACCAGTACCACTAGTGTTACCAGTACCAATAGTGTCACCAGTACCAATAGTGTTACCAGTACCAATAGTGTTACCAGTACCAATAGTGTCAACAGTACCACTAGTGTTACCAGTACTAATAGTGTTACCAGTACCAATAGTGTTACCAGTACCACTAGTGTTACCAGTACCAATAGTGTTACCAGTACCACTAGTGTTGCCAGTACCACTAGTGTTACCAGTACCACTAGTGTTGCCAGTACCACTAGTGTTACCAGTACCTCCCAATCGTGAACGTTTGATCTAGTGATGTGTAGGCGGGAGGGAAGGAGGAGCCTTTCCTCAGTGTTCGTGTACACTCAGCTAGAGCAATGTGTGAGTAGAACAAGAGCTCTGCTCTTTTGGCCCGCCTCTCAACTGTCAATCAATCAACTGTTACTAACTATTGTATGTGTGCGTACTCACCTATTTGTGCCTGCAGAATCGCGCTCTAGTATGTTGTTTTAGATTTAGCTACTCAGAACGAAAAGTCCTTGTAGCACGGGCTATGGTGAGCCCGTAATTGAGTTCGGTTATTCGCGATAACCTGGTTACAATGATATTTGGGCCAAAGTATTAAATGGAGGTGGGGTTTCTTCCTTTTTCCCTGTTTCTTTTTCGCTTCTGTTTTCGTCTTGTTTTAATAACATTATCTTAGTGGCGGATGTAGGTGCAGAATGTTCATTAGTGAGTCCCCATTCTTTAAAAGCTTTTCTAATCATTGTAGTCGCTGTGGAAAGCTCTAGTACTTGGACACTGCTTTTCTAGCTGGGTGGTTGTCAATTCCAGTGACTCCTGACCTAGTTTCTTATTACTTTGTGGGTGTGTGTGTGTGCGCGCACGTGCGTCCGTATTGGGTGGGCGCAGTAGTATAGACTGCACGCGATGTTGTTGTTGTTGTTTTAGATTCAGCTACTCAGAACAATAAGTTCCAGTAGCACGGGCTATGGTGAGCCCAAAAGTGGAGGTTCTTTGGAGACATTAGCTGTATCAGTGGCTGATACTAGAGATCTGGCGATGGATGGGGGTCTTCATGATGGTTTTCAGCCTGGAGGGTTGGCTATACCAGTTATGGAGCTGGTGGGGTTAGTGTAGACCTCTAGGTTTTCCGTTTTTTCTTTGCCTACACGCGATGGCGGCCCTGGCTTTCATACCTAGAGTAAGTGGTGAGGTGGATGCTCTTACCTGGGGTTGGTGTCGTCTGAACGGGGGTAGTTTAGCTCGTATTTATTTGTCTTTCGTTGGACGGGGTCGGTGGTTAGTGGGAACGGTGTGTGTGTGTGGTGTCACTGGGGTAAAGTTGAGCAGGTCGTTGGAGACGGGGCGGGTGGATGGGTCTTCTTTTCACCAGGGATGGGGAGTGGAAAGAGGTAAGAGCTTAGGGGAGGTGATGGAAGAGCAGTAATATTGGAGTAAATTGAAAAAGGAGATAGGAAGGAAAACGGTACGTGTTTTTGTAGTTGCGAGTAAGTTGAAGGGATGTGCTGTGTGTGTAATTAGGGAAAGGAGAACTAAAACGAAAGATTTTCTTTGGATAAGTGGATTGTTGTTGTTTTAGATTCTGCTACTGGGAACAAAAAGTTGTTCCAAGTAGCACGGGCAAAGGTGAGCCCGTAGTGGACTTACCTGGCACAGGAGCGGGGCTGTAACTGGGTGGATAAGTGGAAGGTAGGATTAGTTACCCGTTTAATATTTAAGGAATATGTTGGGCGGGAGAAGAGAAAGGTAGGTGAGAGAGAGAGAGAGAGAGAGAGAGAGAGAGAGAGAGAGAGAGAGAGAGAGAGAGAGAGAGAGAGAGAGAGAGAGAGAGAGAGAGAGAGAGAGCCTATAAGGTCCTACACAATATGTTTCCGTGCCAAGTGTTATGCTTGGTGTATATTGTTCTGTGCTCTGTGTGGCGTGACGTTGGTACCACTCACCTTGTTGTACTTGCCAGGAATTAGCTTTAATTCTTGGGCCTCGACTTTCAACCTTCATTTAACTGCTATTCATTACTCCAAGACTATTAGATTTGTTAATATCTAAATTTGAAGTTGTAAATATTCTTCCTCCAACACATCACTAGCAATTTCTTTATAATGTGTCCATGGCTCATTTTAGCGCTTAGTTTCGATAAGTATTCCCTTGTTCATGCACCGCCAATGCAAAATAATCTATCCTTGAATGTCCCGTCTATTCTCATAGAAATTTTATATGAAAGTATCATATCTCCCCCTCTTCTCTTTCCGAGTGACGTAAGGTTTAAGTTCTGAAACCTTTCTTCATAACTCATACCTCTAAATTTCTACGACTAGTCTAATGGCATGCATCTCAACTTTCGCCAGGTGCGTTGTGTGTTGAGCGAGGTCCGGCCTCCACGCCGGTGTGGTCAGTGATCAGTGTCCAGAAGAGAGGTAAGCCTGTGTTTTGTAAATTAAGTTGTGTCCACGCGGTAATCAGCGAAGAAATACTCTCATTAATGAATGCTCATCCAGACTCATCTACATATAAACAATTTATACATACACACTCATCACACTACAAATATAGTTATCTTGAAGCAAATTCAAAGATTTCATCAGTTTCCTTAGCATAAACTAACATACCAAAATATAAATAAAACCCCAATTCATAAAATAAAATCAGTATATGTTATAAAAAACTGGTTCCCATTGTGTGAAAGGGTCGGGAAGGTTTTACCAACCTTTCCCTCCCACACAAAAGGAAACCATTTAATAATTCCCACATGTACTGAAGCCTCCTTTTGTGCCAATGTTCACCTGAACTATTCGATCTCTCATGGCCAGTTTTCGCACGCAAATCACCCCGATATTGAACGCTGCATTGTTTGATCTACCAATCGCTGCAGGAAAAGTGTTGGCATTAGTGCGAATGCAAAAAGCCAACATTCACGATTTCTTGTCTGGTGAAGCGTAATCTGATTGGCGGAGTTGACGAGTGACGTCACCGTTTGTTTACTTCCGGGTGCCATATGCTTTAACGGGTTGTTTATCTGAAAGTGTCATGTTTTGATCATCCGGGTGGCATATGACGTTTCTTCTTCGCGTCAGGCATGTCAATATCGTCGCCATAACGTCGTTAGACATGCCAACGTCACCCCCATCACAGCGTCAGGAATACCAACTCCATCCCGTCAGGAACGCCAACATCACCGTGTTCCCACAAATAACACGGGGCGCTGGACAACTGCCTGACCCTCTTATCGCACCGTTGTTAAAAAAAAAAAAACTGAATATTTAATCCACTAACATCGTATATTCTTATTTTCGTTCAAAGAATAAATATTCTTTAAACAAAATAATTAATACATCATCTAATCCCAGAATACTGACTGTAGCTAGAGAATCCACTTCAGATTAGAAGAACGCACACAGCGCTCGGAGGTTGTAGTCCCAAGGTACCCGGGTTCGATTCTCGGCCGACGCAGAAACAATTGGGCAGAGTTTTCTCACCAAATGCCCGATAGGTACACCTAATAGTTCACCAAATAGCAAATAGGTACCTGGGAGTAAGATAGCCTCTACGGATAGCACCCTGGGGGGGGGAGGGGAAGGGGTGTTTTCTTGCCTTAAAGTCAAATATATGCAAAGATGATATAGGAAAATAGTTTGAGAGTCAATATATTAGACAACCGACAGTTAGAAAGACAGGATCCAAGAGCTAACAGCTCGATCCTGCAAACACAAATAGTAAATACACAATATTCTTATAAACTGTATACAGCCCACAATTACTTCACACAATCAAGTCTTTTTGTTTAAAGAAGATAGCATTGATAACTTTGATATGATAAACTATCAAAAGAGCAATTCCTTAGCATACAAAAGAATTTTACTGAGGAATGCCTTTTAAATTGTAACAATAATCTGATTATCAAAGATAAATAAGAGTGAATGATTATGTTAAATTTCAAATTAAGATTCCACAAAAAATTATATTGTTATATATTAATATTGAAATAGAGTCGACAGTAACAAAAATAAGAACGGCAGGAGTGATTTTAGTTCTTGTTGTAGTATTGCAACTCATTTTCCAGTTATAGACAGGATGACATAGTTAATCCAAAGAATTAGAAACGTGTCTTACGAAGAAAGATTAAAAAAGTTTTATTAGATTAAAAAGATTAAAGATATATTAGATAAAGAAAGATTTAAAAAATTAGTTTACATTCTCTATAATGACGAAGATTAAGGGGTGACGTGATTTAAAATATAAATGGTTGAAAAGACATAACAAGAGCGACCAAACAATAAAAATATTTTCATTTATCTGAACAAACTAGGACACTAAATAGTGTATACAGCTTGAAAATAGTTTATATTCTTGAAAATAGTTTATATTTATATTCTAAAATTCTTGCTAGAAATAGAGTTGTTGTTTTATGGAACAAATTACCGAGTAACATAATAGACGTTGGATCTCTTGATTGTTTCAAATGCCGGTTAGATATTCGTAAATAAATTTGATCCATATAAAAAGAAGCTGTCTCGTATAGGCCAAGAGGCCCTTTGCAGTTTCTTTCATTCTAATATTCTTATATGTCCTATCTTAAGACCATAATATAACCACGGAGGTCCATAAGTACAGAATATGGAGTTACATATAGGTAATAGTCTGTATTTTGTACTGTTCAAATATCGAAAGATTGTCTTTCATAGGGGAATTTCTCTCTCTCTCTCTCTCTCTCTCTCTCTCTCTCTCTCTCTCTCTCTCTCTCTCTCTCTCTCTCTCTCTCTCTCTCTCTCTCTCCCCTCTCTCTCTCTCTCTCTCTCTCTCTCTCTCTCTCTCTCTCTCTCTCTCTCTCTCTCTCTCTCTCTCTCTCTCTCTCTCTCTCTCTCTCCTGCGTGACATCTCATAAATTTCACAAGCTCTGAAAGTAAGTTGGAGAAGATGGTCTGACCACTTCTCTGCAATAGCTACATCACTTGGTAACAGACACAGCACGCGCTGGACTCTGAGATCTCCGTGTAGTGGTCTTCAGCACTGCTACACATGACAACATAACGAGCATTTAAAACTCCTCTTCGCATTCCGGAATCGATGTCCTCCGATATTCAACTAGCTTCCTGCGGTGCTGCTAATTCCAGCTGATATTTAGGAAGAATCGTGTTTGGAAAATGAGGTTGGAGTCATGAAATACAACGTTGTCCGGTTAGATCTCACTGTTTAGTTCCACCCAGTTCCCACGGCTTCGACAGTTATCACCAGGACCTCCAAGCTCTCAAGCGAGGATTGTCTTAGGAGTCGCTGGACCTCGACTCCCCCAGACTCATCTCCCCCACACGAGGGGGAGATGAGGGCATCATCCTAGAGGGCATCAGCGGTGAATGAAGGGAAGACAGGAGGTTTTGACTAAACATATACTAATCTACAGCCAAAATGCTTTTGAAGGGAATAAAGTCAGTCGCGACTAACTCTGGGTCACTGATAACGGAAATGGTGTTTAAAATTGTTGATTAGCTCTGGTTTTCATCCAAAACGAGTCTTCAAGCGTTGGTGCTGCATAATGTGAGAGTTTTGCCATCGATTCCTTTGGGCTATACAGCCCATATGAGAGAAACTTATGGCAACATGAAGCAGCTTTTGAGGTGCATAAACTAGGGCCAACATCAGTAGCAGTACTGTGGCGACTTGAAAGTTGTTGCTCTTGCGATGGGTCGGCAAGATAGATACACAAAGCAGTGATGTTTTCTTTGTAAGTTGGAGAGTCGTGCCAGAGATTTCGACTATGTTATGAGAGGCTGGCCACTCCGTCCATCATTGGAGGCCTTGGAGAAAAACGTTTAGCATCAACCACACGCTGAATTAATAAATATTTTGTTGCCAACTTACACATAAAACAAGCTAATTAACAATTGACATTATTATATCAGAATTTAGCACGTTAAAATGCATGATAGACAGCTCTTGTGATCTCAGATTCACACACATTTTGAAAACTTGTTGAGTGTATAGGAAAAGTTTGTCATTGGTCGTATGCCAATATGGATGATCTTCAGCGTGCCCAACTTGGTGCTGTCTCAGACCATGGTTGATCTTCAGCGTGCCCAACTTGGTGCTGTCTCAGACCATGGTTGATCTTCAGCGTGCCCAACTTGGTGCTGTCCCAGACCATGGTTGATCTTCAGCGTGCCCAACTTGGTGCTGCCTCAGACCATGGTTGATCTTCAGCGTGCCCAACTTGGTGCTGTTCCAGACCATGGTTGATCTTCAGCGTGCCCAACTTGGTGCTGTCCCAGACCATGGTTGATCTTCAGCGTGCCCAACTTGGTGCTGTCCCAGACCATGGTTGATCTTCAGCGTGCCCAACTTGGTGCTGCCTCAGACCATGGTTGCTCTTCAGCGTGCCCAACTTGGTGCTGTCTCAGACCATGGTTGATCTTCAGCGTGCCCAACTTGGTGCTGCCTCAGACCATGGTTGCTCTTCAGCGTGCCCAACTTGGTGCTGTCTCAGACCATGGTTGATCTTCAGCGTGCCCAACTTGGTGCTGTCCCAGACCATGGTTGACCTTCAGCGTGCCCAACATGGTGCTGTCCCCGACCATGGTGGACACATTCGCCTCCCCAGCATCAATAACCCCCAGGCGTCGCTCCACTGGGTGGAGGCGCCAATGGCCTTCCCCGGGAGAGTGAATGTATCCCGCAAGTCAAGCGGTTGGTAAACAAGAACCTTACTGACGGCAGACACTTGTTGGTTGGCCAAACAACCCAGAGACTTACACACAGAGGCAGTGTGTGTGTCTTGAGTTCATCACTCACCCTATTCAGCCACACACCCCACAAAAGAATTTTTGGAAACTTCAGAAATCCACCAATAATTTTCCCAAGTCAGTGAAAGCTCGAACTGCAATTTTTCATATTTAATGTGGTCTATGAGAGCTTTCCATGTCTTCGACAGGATTCTTGGCGCATTTCCAAGTTTTAATTCTTTGGTGGGGTATGGTGGCTGAATAGATACATGGATGAATTTGAGGTCAAGAGTTCGAGCCACAATCTTGTTTTTGAACGCTTTCGTGTCTATTTCAACAAAATTTAAAATGAGTTGAAATGTGCACGAGGACACTCAAGTATTTCCTGTTTCATTTACCCCTCTTCGTGATGTGTTTTCACGCATATGTTTCTTTGTCTGTCTCTTTTGATCTGGTATTGTTAGATTGCTTGATATGTTGTGCTTCACCTATGTCTAATCTTCAGCGGAGTGGCAGGAAGCAATGTCCTCAAAGATTTCCATTCATTCTGCCTGTAGCAGGACTGTTTAATATGGTCTCGGTACCATGACCTGTATATCAGCCGCGTGTGCCAGAGTTATTGGGATGACGGTCAGCATCCAATAGGTGACTACATTCAACTCAGAAGCTTGTTGAATCCAACTTGTTTGTTGAAACTTGTTGAAGGAGAATCCAACTCCTTCTCTCTACTCTTCCATATTGTTCACTTCTCATCAAGTCTTCCTCCGACAGAAGTTGTTCTCACACCCCTTATTCTGTTACTTCCTTAAGTATCCCAGCCCTCTCTTTTCTTCCTTCCATCATATCTTTCCGCTCCTTCCCTCTCCCTTCCATCATATCTTTCCGCTCCTTCCCAACTTGGCCCCCATTCTTGGCCCTCTAAACGGTATGCAAATGTTTACGGTGTGTTGAAGGGTTACAGTAAACCCAAATATTCTTTCTTGAGGTAACTCTGTGCCAGCTGGTGTCAGGCGTGGCTTTATGTTGACTTTTCCGCGTGTGTGTGAGGGGGGAAGGGCAGGGAGGAAGCGGGAAAAGGAAGGTGAGGGAGGAAGTGGTAGGGGGAAGGGGTAAATAAACATGATCTCTGCAGACTGTTACATCAGGAAGTGTTTGGGAACTAGGCAGGTAGTACACTACACTTTATCTTATTATCTTGCCCCTCTTGTGGCCGTTTATTGTTGTGTTTCTCTCTTATTTAATGCAATTTATTTTTCCAATCTCATCCTGTTCCTTGTTCCTCTTCTCTCTCTCTCTCTCTCTCTCTCTCTCTCTCTCTCTCTCTCTCTCTCTCTCTCTCTCTCTCTCTCTCTCTCTCTCTCTCTCTCTCTCTCTCTCTCTCTTTTCTTCCTTTTTCTCTACAATATTTCTATATCTTTTATTCTCCCTCTCGTCATTAAAATCCTGGCCCATTTCCCTTCCGAGACCAAGACATTGACTCCGAGACGTCGATTATGTGGTTTGTGTGGCTGGGTGAGGTTATCAGGGTGTGTGGTGGTGGTGGGGCATGTAGGGGTGTGGTGGAGGGTGGTGGTGGTGGTAGTGGTGGTAGAGATGGTAGTAGTGTGTGGTGATGGTAGTAGTGTGAGGTGATAGTGATAGTAGTAGTGTGTGGTGATGGTAGTAGTGTGAGGTGATAGTGATAGTTGCAGTGTGTGGTTGTGGTGTGGGAGGTGGAGGTGATGGTGCGGTGGTAGTAATGATGGTAGTAGGTGTGTGGCGCAGTGGTGATGATGTCATGGTGTGCGGCTAGAGTGGGGGGGGAGAGGGGGGAGGGGTTAGGTTCACCATGCATTGTTACGAATGCGTTTTATGTCAGCGCTTAAGGCTCCGAGAACGATGTTTCAGGGGGTGGCGCAGGAGGGAGGCGCAGATAGAGAGAAACACGCAGTTAGAGAAACTGACAGAGAGGACCCGGAAACTTTTGCGCAGATATAGGCCAGAAACAGACAATAAATATATCACAATACAGGAAGAAAATTAGCAGACATTATCTGACTTTCCACGGCGTGTTATCCAATCATCATTTATCGTGCTACTTCCCGTGTCACTTTCTGGCTCATTACTGCTTCTATGCTTACCACAACACCTTTAAGCTTACATGACACGGGAATATATTTATAATCTCGTGAACTCGTAAAGTCAAACACGTCATAATCCTTTAAGAAATGACTCCATAAACACTTTGATTGTCTGGATTGTTATGGTATACGATAATCAAAGCCAACCATATGATTGTCTTATATTTACTTCGCCTATATCTCACTTATGAAGTTATCTTTTCCTGTCAAACTTCTTGGGTGACCTTTTTTCTTATCTCTCTCGTTCCTCGGATATCTTTTTCCCATTTTCACTTCTTCCCATGCTTACTCTCTCTCTCTCTCTCTCTCTCTCTCTCTCTCTCTCTCTCTCTCTCTCTCTCTCTCTCTCTCTCTCTCTCTCTCTCTCTCTCTCTCTCTCATTTGTGAGGGGAAGGGAACTATGCGGGGAAAGCGCCGAGCTCTTGGACTGATCTTGTCCAATGATAGCGCACTAGGAAATGATTCTCCTGATTGTCTGGCGACATCTATTTATGATATCCGGGCGAGTCAGAGAATGCCACGTCTCTCTCCATCCTTTATTGAAAGAGACGAGCACGATCGACACGTCTAAGGTCCTGAAGTGATCAGAGATCACCTCTCTCTCGTCACCCCTCTCTCGTCACCCCTCTCTCCCCCTTCCTTCATGATTGGATAGAGGGGCAGTAGTGGGATAACCCGCAATCCTCAGTCTCTTCCAACCCTGCAGTCACCTCCACCCCTGCAGTCACCTCCACCCCTGCCGTCACCTCCACCCCTGCAGTCACCTCCACCCCTGCAGTCACCTCCACACCTGCAGTCACCTCCACCCCTGCCGTCACCTCCACCCCTGCTGTCACCTCCACCCCTGCAGTCACCTCCACCCCTGCAGTCACCTCCACCCCTGCAGTCACCTCCACCCCTGCAGTCACCTCCACCCCTGCTGTCACCTCCACCCCTGCAGTCACCTCCAACCCTGCTAAAGTCAGCTGAAAATAAGGTATATAAACAGAGTGTAATCATCAACATCACTACACCGATTGTAACTACACCGACCGTAACTACACAACTACATGACTACACCCAAACGTAACAAACAAACGTAGGCTTCCTATTCCCAGCATTGTTTAGATTACCTCTTCATCGATAAATTAAGCACAGTTAATATCCACGTGGCCTGGCTACTTTAATTCAAGGAGACCGACGGACACATTGCCCTGACCTCAGACGTTCTCATACACAAGAGTCAGCGCTAATTAACAACCCTTTGTTTCATGTTATTAACCGTGTTTCGTGCTTGTTATTAACCGTGTTAGTTAATATACTAACACAGCAAAGTGGTCTTTATTGGTAAATAGGTGCAGATTCCGGTCAAGGATAAGAGTGCAATGTTATCTGTTAGTTGATGCACACTGGTCTCCCCGACGACCACACCACTGGTGCTGGAACACGTGCTGGACGACCACACCACTGGTGCTGGATCACGTGCTGGACGACCACACCACCGGTGCTGGACGACCACAACACTGGTGCTAGACGACCACACCACCGGTGCTGGATCACGTGCTGGACGACCACACCACTGGTGCTGGATCACGTGCTGGACGACCACACCACCGGTGCTGGACGACCACAACACTGATGCTAGACGACCACACCACCGGTGCTGGATCACGTGCTGGACGACCACAACACTGGTGCTGGATCACGTGCTGGACGACCACAACACCGGTGCTGGATCACGTGCTGGACGACCACACCACCGGTGCTGGATCACGTGCTGGACGACCACAACACTGGTGCTGGATCACGTGCTGGACACCCTTATGTGTCAGCATTCTTACTTACTCTCACGAAAGCCTATGTTAGACAATGTGTGTGGTAAAATTCTTCTGACCTTGTTCAACCACCAACACCACCACCTCCACCACCACCACCACCACCCCCACCACCATCACCACCACCCTCTAGCCCTGTCTTTTTCTGACACATTTACACCTCACAATAATTGAACAGTTTCTAAAGACGAAGAGAAAGCTATCCTTATAAGCCCACTGGATGACTAAACCTCATTCGAAAGGTTTTTTCTCTCTAAAATAATCGAAGGCTTTCCAGGCAGATAATGAGATGGAGTTTTCCTGTTGCATGACCAAACGCCTTTGTTCAAGGTGCCTCTGACAGTTGATTTTTACTATATAATAATTCCTGGAGACAGACCGAAAGGAAAGCGAACATCTATACTAAAATTCTATTCGGCAGTGAAGTGTTGTATAGAAAATAAAAGGTTAGTTTTTGAGAGCGATAACTCTCCTTGAAGACCATCCAATTGATCTTAAAACGTCCTCCTGGAGTAGATTTTTTTGACCATTAAAATAACGCAGCTATTAAGAACAAGATATGTCTATATGTCTTTGTCAGTATGTCAGTCTGTCCAAGTGGTTGAGCACCATTCCTTCCTC